TTGGTTCTTTGCGTTTTCATCTCTGTTGTATTAAAAGCTGTTAGGGTCTACCCATTCTCCCTCCAAGCTTCTCCCATGGCCTGCTGTACATCCTCAATTGCCATTGCATGCTGTAAGATCCTTCATGCCCACTCAAACTATGTACCACAAAGTCAATGAGCTGTATGATAACACGGGCAGGAATTGATGTGCACTTAAAAAAAACAAAACAATATTTCAATAATCTGCAGTAAATGAACTGATCCTTTTATAGAGTTGTAAGAACAGCAATCAAACTGAGCCACTATGGTGTTGATAACATACTCTTTAGTTCACTTCACAACACTTTTCCTATTCAAACAATCATACAGTCATTGAGACAAACCACCAAAAGAAAGAATAGCCAATTACAACCTCAAAGGTATTAATCAATTAAACCCTCCGACTACCTGTGAAAATAGCCTTGCTGAACTAAGCTTCTAATGAACCTTGGTGCTCAGCCAAGCATTTATCATGAGGGTACCTGTGAATTGTGTCAGCTGGATCAGATGGCCAATCATGGAGGGCAAGAACGAGGCATGGGTGGTTTCTTTTAAAACATACCTTTTAATAGACTCCTATGGTTCACTGACTCATCTGAGGGAGGAGTGTTCTTGGGCTAGCCTGGTTGAATAAAAATGGTGGTGTTGGTGCAGGAATGGGGTGAACATAATGGGAGGCCACCCCCAGGACACTTGGCCTATGGACCTGGAGTTGCAGGCTAGTGGCAATCAGAAGAGAAGAGGTGATTATCAACTGCTTTGTAGTCAGCTGCCACTGTGTACATGCTCACAACAGGAAAAAAGAGACAAAGTCAGGAGGAGCAAAAACAAAGTTGCTAGAAAACCTCAGCAGATCTGGCAGCATCTGTGAAGAAAAAATCAGACTTAACATTTTGGGTCCGGTGACCCTTCAGCTGGGAAAATGTCGTTTACCCCCTACCCCATCCCTCTCCCTATTTTTCTGCATATAAACCAACATTTTCCCAGCTGTCATCAGTTCTGAGGAAGAGTCACCGTACCCGAAACGTTAACTCTGATTTTTCCTTCAGATGCTGCCAAACCTGCTAAGCTTTTCCAGCAACTTCTGTTAATCAGGAGGAGACCTGTGGGCTCAATTCTCATAGGTTGTCCTTGAAATAAGATACCAAATAAAAAGGTATTGAGAACAAACAGTCACGCAATGGAATATTCATTTAAAATACAGGACAGCTGGTCACCTGCTATACTGCTGGATAGTGTTTTTTCATGGTTTTGGAACATAGGGAGTCAGGTTAAAGTATTACGTGGTTTTGAGGGAACATTGGAAAATGTGCAGTACAGGCATTTTTTCTTAAAAGAATACATATAGCTTTTTCCCCTTCCACCCTGCACCAAAGATTACAATGTTTATCCCTGTTTTTGAAGATGTAGTAAATGCTATTTGAGATAATTGGAATTAGGCAAAAATGTATGACTATTACCAAAGCATGTAAAACATATTTAGAGCATATCATAAAATAATTTTGATGTTAATGTCACGTTTCTGTATGCGCAGCATATTATTAAACAGTTGATTATTTGAAGGCTGGTAATTGTCATGTTCAGTATCATATTCAGTAGCTTGTTTTCATCACAATTTTGAAAAATAATCTGCGTTCTTAGTAGCCGTCAGTTCTGTTTTGAGGGTACTGTTTCTGTCCAGAGAGCTACAATCTTTAGTAAGCTTGGATTCTCTGACTATGTTCACATAGCACTACTGGACCGTCATTTGAGAAACATAACAAGTTGACTGCTACAAGGCTAGGTTCTGTTCTATGGATTCTGTTGCTAATTGTATCACCAAACGAAAAACTAATTAACTGATAATTGAAACATCATTGCTGCAGGTGACTGGATTTGATTTTATTGTCGCTGTCTAGTATGGAAATAAGACATCTTACACATTTTAAAATGAGACCTCAGTGTGACTTACGATATTTGAGAGGCAGGATCAATTTGTGAAGCAACCATTAGCAAACTGCTCCACAGCAGAATTATTAACCACTTTGGAAACAACAGCCTTATAATTTTTCCCGAGATCTTTGCTCACCTACCAATTTGTGTTTTTTTTTAACATCCCTGATTTTAACCACTGTAGCAATGGCAGCCATGCCATCAGACACCTAGGCCCTAACTCTGGAGGTCCCTCCATAAAACACTACATCCCTCTTCCTCTGTCTTCCTTTATGTCAGTTCTTAGACCTGCCTCTTTAAGCAAACTTTGTTTCCCTACCTTCCTGAAATCTCTCCACATGGCTTAGTGTCCAGTTTTGTTTGCTAATTACTGCTTGTGTGAAGTCTGCAGGATGTTGAAGTCAAAGGTATGATATAAATTCAAATTGTTGTTCATACTGTGGATGTGCAAAAAATAGAAATTAGTTTTTATTTTGTTCTGCCAGCTTAGAGATTCTAACTGAAATTTCTTCAGTTCCAGTGTTGTGATATCTTGATAGGCCACTGCAGAGACATTATGTTGAGATTGAAGCTTTATATTTTGTTTTGTTTTCAACTTCATATAAATACCAATTTATTTCCTAAGCATAATTATGTTTGACAGTTGGATGATTTTGCACAGAATTCTGTACTTGTACAACAAATTCATTTCTGTTATTGAGTTGCTTAGTTTGAGAATTTTGTTTCAGCCATTCGATCAGCAACCTTACTAACTAGATTGCCAGATTCGCAAAAGGAATGGGACAATTTGCAATACCGGAAATAACATTATATTGTATCTATTCCTGGGAGCAGGACAGAGCAGTTTAACTAAGATTGTGATTATTCCAGTGCACCAAAGTGATTTAACAAATGCAGTCAATTTATTTACAGCAGCAAAGTGCAATAAAAGAAAAGCTTGGGAACCCAACAAGTGGAGTGGACTAGCTGCTTACTGATTTTTTTTTAAAGTAAACAATCTATGCAAGAAATTGCACAGAGATTGTCAGTTTTCCTGGATTAAACAGCCAAATTTTAGCCAATGAATCAGTGTTCAGTTATATTTATCATGTGGCAGAGGATATATGAGGCTTAAACACAGTTGGTAGAAGGCATTGTTTGTAGTGCAGTTGCATATCTGTTTATGTGCCACCAATAGAACGAGTTACTGAGTCCCACTGTGCATTGATCATTTCATGGATCATAGCACATGCTGGAATTATTAATCCTCAAAATGTGATTTAAGATGCAGTTGTGGTGCAGTGGTAGTATTCCTATCTCTGAGCCAGACAGCCTGGATTCAAGTTTGACCTGCTCCAGAGATGTCATAACTTCTTTGAAGATGTTGATTAGAAAGTATCTCTAAACGTGATTCAGATTAGCTAATTGTCCCGATAAGGTTTTCACAGCAAGTAAAATGTAGTCACTTCTGTAACACATGCACTGGTAAAGCCATCATCCATTCCAAGCATTGCAGCCAAAGGAAGCCTTTGTTTCTCGTTCAGAATTGTCCCATAGTTGTTGTGAGCCTCCTTCTTGAGTGGAAGTACATGTAGTGAAGGTACTCCAGCTGGTACAAAAGAAACTTCAGAACTTTGGTTTAGTGATGGCGAAAGAGAAGTGATATATTTCCATGAGATAGTGTGTGATTTGGATGGGAATTTTGAAGAGGTGGTGTTTCCATACATCCACTGTCCTTGTTCTAGGTGGTAGTGGTTGCAGGTTTAAGAGGTGTTGTCAAAGGAAACTTAGTGAGTTGTCATATATACCTAAGTCTAGTAGTTAATTAGAGCTCTGAACATCCTGGTAAACACTGTACACACCCCACACATTAAGGTAGATGAGAAGAACCAAAGGATGCACTTAAGGCAATTTTATTAACACCCTTGGTCCCTTGGAAAGAATCTGCTCCTCTACAACCTACTGTGCAAAATTGTATATGTGTACAATGTATTCACAGCTCGACTCATCCAAAGGAATCTGGCTGTGGAGATGAAGCGAAAAATTCTAACCAAAACTATTATTTACGAGCCAGACAAGATTGGGCGGAATACAATATCATAATCGGAGAACAATAAATGTCAGAGTATAAAAGCAGGTTTGCACCCAATACTCTTGCATTCCTGATGGGCAGGTTATTTTAAACTTCCGGTGATTAAGTAGAGCGGTTACATTAGAACTGTGGGGTCTCCCCACAGGCAAACATTGAAACCGTACTGTAATCAGGACTGAGAGCGGCTATCAAGGTGACTGAGATAGTAGGAACTGCTGATGCTGGAGAATCTGAGATAACAAAGTGTAGAGCTAGATGAACACAGCAGGCCAAGCAGCATCAGAGGAGCAGGAAAGCTGACGTTTCGGATCGAGACCCTTCTTGCTGTCCAAAACGTTTGCATTACTGGTTCCTTCTAAGCAGTAATGAGAGATACTGGTCAAATCTCACAACCAATAGAGCATTGTTACTTTATGTACAATAGTTTCACCAGGTCTCAAAAGTATATACTTCACCCTGGAGCGTGGGATAGTTAGGCTGAGTAGAATTATCTAACTATGATGGCACCAGTAAGGCATAAGGAGGACTGTTTTTATTCCCTTCATGCCCCATTTTGATGGTTGACTATCCACTTGCCCCTATCAGCTGAACTTCTAACAAAAAAAGGGGACAGACCAGTTCTAAGGTAAGTAGTTGAATATTGCCCATGTTCACAAGTGACTAATCTCTGTATTTTGGCACTATAATTTTCTACTTTAGAAAAAATCCTTTCTATGGATTCTATGTTAGAAAAATGCATTTTACGGGTTCTGACCTGCGAGAGAGTCAAAATGTGAATAATGTGTATGCAATTCATGATGAAGAATTCCAAAAGAACACAGGTACTTTTAAAAGAGCAGTGCAATATGATTTCCAAAGAAACACAATGCAAGTCCAGATTGATCGTTGTTAAAAAAAAACCACATCAACATTTCTGAAATTGATTTTATTCTGTTTAGGACTTTGTACTGATTAGTTCTATTTGTATATTGTTACAGAATCCCTTCCATCTGCAGATGAGCCTTGAAGCTTCTCATCCTACCTATGCGGATATACTTATCTTTCTCCTGACAACGAATAGGTGGTATGATGTCAGCCTAGTTTTGTGCAAAGAATGGAACGTAACCAACTTTCTCAGTCTTTTATATAACAACTCCAAGTTTCACCTTGGAACTATTTTCAATATTGCTTCGGACAATGATGATGTTAACTTTGTAAATTATTTGCAAGACTACTTGGACACAGTCAAAGAGGCGCCATTGTCCATTGTCACTTTCGGCTGCGGCATTGAACATTTCCAAAAGATTTTTCAGCTAGCGGCCAACTATGGATTAAAGCTGCCGGAACACCACTGGATTCTAGGTGACTCTCAGAATGTGGAAGAGTTAAGAACTGAAGGCTTGCCCATGGGTCTCTTGGCCCATGGTAAAACGACACAGCCAGTTTTCCATAATTATGTGCAGGATGCAGTGGAGTTAATAGCCAGAGCCGTGGCTACTGCAACATATGAGAGGCCAGAACTGGCTCTTATTCCAAGTACAACAAACTGTATGCATTGGGAAGAAATGAATATAACATCAGGCCAGTTTCTTTCAAGGTAAGAACATTATTGGTAATGGTGACAATCATAATACTCATCATTGCAGGCTAATTACAATTTTACATTTGACTAGTTTCATGGTTATGATGAAATCCAATGGCAATTGATGAAATATGGGGTATATTAATATTATATGGAAGACCAGTATTGGTCTGCAGTATTGCTTCTAGGGATAATTAGCATGCTGCTGCAGATTAAGTCTAAATCAAAACTTTAAATAGATCCAAGTTAGGGTGTTTGAGCCAAATTGATTGTGTTTGGCCTAAAGAAGAAAATATTTGTGTTTATACAGAGTCTTTCACAACCATGGGATGTCCCAAGATGCTTCACAGTTAGGTTTCTTTTGAGGAATAGATGATATCATTTGGGGAGAATGGCTGCAACTATTATTCACAGCAACTGCTGCAAACAGCATTAAGCTAAATAATCTGTTGTTGGAAAACCTTTCACGGTCACAAGGGAAATCCAGTTGAGTTGTTCAGTGATATTTGTGGAATCCATCCAACACTGATTCCAACGGAGATAAAAATTGGCTAGATACTACAAGAGATGTGCATTCTGTTTCCCTGGTCTAAACAGTAGGAAAAAAAATCCCAATCTGTTTTCGGTGACAAATAGCTGTTGCCCAAGACCTACATACATTCTGTTTCTTATAATAAACAGACAATAGTGTGTTAGCCCTTTAAATTTTACTGCATGGCAACGTAAGCAGGTCAGCATGTGCAGACAGCATAGGAACCTTTGTGTTGCTATAGCCATGTCACTTGGAAGGGCGCTTGGTCAAGATGTCAGGAGATATTCAAACAGAAGTCCATGTTGACCTATTCAAGTGAACATGAAAAGTCCCATGGCACAATGTGAAGAAGAGAAGGGGAATATCCACTCTTCTCCTCTTCACCTGAATAGGTCAACATGGGCCTCCATTTGAACATCTAGTATGAAGGATAGGACCTCTGACAATGTTGCATGCCCTGTATTCCTGCAATGCAGTATTGACTTAGATTATGCAATAGGTTTTGAACCAATAACTGTTTGACCCAAGGGCAGAGTGCTACCACTGAGTCAATCTAATATTTGCCCCACGAAGATTTAAAAATAAAATCTGCCCAGGAGTCCATCTGTCCAATTTTCTAGTTCTTGACAAGTCTATGCAGCAGCCAGTGAATTCAAAAGAGGCAAAGCATGTGTGTTTTGTGGTGGGCTTTAGGTCATAAACTGCAAGGAAATAACAAGCAATTCCACCAGTCTTGCATTTTGAGGCACACGGTGGTTGAGTGGTTAGGACTGCTGCCTTGCAGTGCCAAGGACCTGGGTTTGATTCCACCCTCAGACAACTGTCTGTGTGGAGTTTGCACGTTCTTACTGTGTCTGAGTGGGTTTCCTCCAGGTGCTATAGTTTCCTCCTACAGTCCAAAGATATGCCGGTTAGATAAATTGGCCATGCTAAATTGCCTGTAGTGTCCAGGGAAGTGCAGGCAAGGTGAATTAGTCGTGGGTAAAGCAGGGTTACAGGGATAGGGTAGGGGTGTGTGTCTGGGTGTGATGCCCTTTGGTGGATTAGTGTGTACCCAATGGGCCAAATGGCCTGCCTCCACACTGTAGGGATTCTATGACTGGATGTTTGCAAGCATTTTTTAGTGCTGTTGTGGTTAACATGTTGACAGTCCATTGTCACTATTCCTTTAGTGGATGTTTCATACATTTTCAGTTGTGTTACTTTGAGTTTAGGCTTTTGGCTACCCATGAATTGTACAGAATCACTGAGAGAACTGAACAGTGCAGTGAAGCTTTCTAATGTCCTCTCATGTTTGTTGAGTCAACTGCAGAACATCTTCTGTGTTTCATGGATCACAGTGCTTTTCAAAATCATCACTCTTAAGTTTTGTTTTAGAATTTAGACTCAGCTGTTTCAAAACTCCAATAGGTCCGGTAGATGCTTGAAATCCTTGGAACATTCATCTTCATAATCCCTTTTTGATTTTTATAACTTAAAAATGTGAAGGGCTCCGGCAGGTATTTTACACTGTCAGATCCAAATGTTCAGCTATGCTAAGGGCCCAGATCGAATCGAGTCGAAACAAGTTGTACAAAACCTTTGGTCCAACCAGCCCATGCCAAACGTAATCCCAAACTAAGCTAGTCCCACATCCCTCCAGGCCTTTCCTATTCATGTACTTATCCAAATGTCTTTTAAATGTAGTAACTGTACCCACAACCACCACTTCCTCTGGAAGTTCACTTCACACTTGAACCACTCTGTAAAAAAGCTCCCCCACATGTCTTTTTTATATCTTTCTCCTCTCACTTTAAAAATATGCCCCCTTGTCTTGAAATTTCTCACCCTAGGGAAAAGACACCTGCCATTCACCTTATCTATACCTGTCATGATTTTATAAACCTCTATAAGGTCACCTCTCAACCTCGTATGCTCCAGAGAAAAAGTCCCAGTCTATTTTTATAACTCAAACCCTCCATTCCCTTCAACATCCTGGTAAATCTTATCCGAACCTTCACCAGCACAATAATATCCTTCCTCTAACAGGGAGACCAGAACTGGACACAGTACCCCAGAAGAGACCTAAATGTCCTGCACAACTTCAACATGATGTCCCAACCCCGATACTCAAAGGTCTGAGTTGGGTTGATATATTCCGGGGATTAGGAGATATTTCTATCAGGGTAAATGCTTTGTGCATTGACACTGCCATGAGGGTTTCTGCGATCTGAACCTTTTATGATATTTCATCAGAGACTTCTGATCTCAGTGAAACATTGAAGGGTCAAGTGCAGCCTGTCCAGGGGAGGACCATTAGGTATAAGAAAGGAAGGAAGAAAGGTTACGCACCCTTTTCATAACATTGGATGCAACGTTCAGGTACATCTTGAAAGGTCCAGGTCTTTCAGCTACTGAGGAGGTTAGTGAATGGGTGTTTGGAATGTTGTTGAGGCACTGGGGGTAAAGAGTCTCACCTATCAGCTGCAAAACAGCAAGTGGTCCCCACTTCCTCTTTTTAGGAACCACACAGTAATCAAGCTGTGGAGAGGCCATGCTGGACCTTTGGGCAATAGCCCCATCTCACTAAGGCTGGAGCCCAGAGGCCATCACTTTTACATTCAGCTGCAGCCAGAAGCATACCCCTACCCACTCCTTGGAATCCGAGGATCACAATGGACCCCTGGCCATAGAAAAGTAATGAGATATTGAGAAGTGGGAAGAGGAGACAAGGAAGTCAGAAGCAATGCATGAGGTGATTTTCATCAGTCCCAATCCAAACCAATGTTCACTGTCCCTATTAGGCATGGATTGCCTTTGAATGAGGGACATGCTGAAATCAATGAGAAGCTGGTCATGTGGTTTGGTCAGTCATGCACATTGCATATTGACAGGGCCAATTTCAGCTGGGTTGATCCCAGTGGCGGAACAGCCTGCACTATTCAAGCCTCAACTAGCAGCAGGATAGGAACATTGTGACACTGGAGGAGGCCCAGGATGGAAGTGTCACCCAGGGAGTGGGAGGGGGAGTTGAATTGGTTTGCAACTGGAAGCTGTTGTTGTTTATCGTGAACCGAGCGCAGGTGCTGTACAAAGCGGTCTCCAAGACTCTGCCTGGTCTCACCGATGTAGAGGAGACCACATCCGGAGCAGTGGATGCAGCGGACCACATTAGCGGATGTGCAGGTGAGCCTCTGTCTAATGCGGAAGGTTTGTTTAGTGCCTTGAATGGAGATGAAGGGGGAGGTGTATGGGCAGGGGTAGTACTTCTTGCGGTTGCAGGGAAAGGTGCCGGGGGTGTAGGGCTAGTGGGGAGTGTGGAGTGGACGAGGGAGTCGTGGAGAGAGCAGTCCCTACGAAGGGCAGATAGGGGTGGGGAGGGAAATATATCTTTGGTTGTGGGGTGGGATTGTAGGTGGCGGAAGTGGCGGAAAATGATACATTGGATATGGAGGTTGATGAGGTGCAATATGAGGACAAGGGGGATTCTGTCTTTGATTTTGTTGTGGGGAGAGAATGTGAGGGCAGAGATGCGGGAAATGTTAGAGATGCGGTTGAGAGTATTTTCGACCACCGGAGGGGAGAAGATGCAGTCCTTGAAATAGGAGGACATCTGGGATGTTCGGGAGTGGAACGCCCTATCTTGGGAGCAGACATGGCAGAGGCGGAAGAATTGGGAGTAGGGGATCGCATTCTTGCAAGGAAAGTGAGTGAGAGGAGGGGTAGTCTACTTCTACCAGTTTCAAAATCTCCCCACCCCCAGCCTCATCCCATGACCAACCCTCCCTCTCATCCCTGCCTTCTTGACCTGACACAACCTGTCCATCTTCTCTCCTACCTATCCGCCCCTCCCATCCCACTGACCAATCCCCACCACTCCCTACATGCACTCACCTATCACCATCCCACCTACCTTCCCCAGCCCCACCCCTCCTCTCTATTTATGTCTGAGCTCCCTCCTCCTACCGCCCCCCCAGCCCCCCCCACCCCTCAAACATTTCTGAAGAAGGGCCCGACCCGAAAAGTCAACTTTCGTCCCATTTTGAGTTCCATTTCCGACAATCTAAATACTGGAAGATTTGGGTTTTATTTACTGTGGAGTTGACTATACTGTGACCAATGCAAGCATGTATATTGACAACTTAATGCAAACACTCCATGCACAGTACAGAAGGAGTACTGCAGTGCTGCTGGTAGTGGTGTCCTTTCAATGAAGTTAGGCTGAGGCCCCATAAGCCCTGGAAGGTATCCTATAGCACTACTAGAAGGAGTGTGGGGGTGTGGGTTCATGCCCAGCATGTAACCCTCAACCAAAAACAGATAATCTGGTCATCAATACATTTCAATATCTGGGAACTTGCCCACACACAAGTTGTCTTCTCTAGTTACTACATTACAACAGTGTCTACCTTTCAAAAAACAACCTTGATTGGTTTTAAGAGCACTTTGGGATGTCCCAAGATTGTGTAAGGCATTGAGAATTGTTTTAAGAGATATCCATCCT